TGCGCGCGGTGGCCGGGGGGCAGCCCCTCACTTGCATCCGAGCTGAGGTACTGGCAGCGAGCCGCGGGCTTTTCAGTACCACGTGGAGCCTGTGGGCATGAGTGTGGACCTGGTTCTGGCCCACTGCCCTCTCCTTGCTGCCCGCCAGGATGCCTTCCGCCCCGGCTCTCATGTGACACTGCTGGTGGGTGTGGCTGCAGCAACCAGTAAACACGGGCCTCAGGACCACTGCCTGCTCACATGGGACCTGGGCGACACGGGAACCATGGGCGACACGGGGACCTGGCCGACATGGGGACCCTGGGCGACACACGGGGACCACTGCCTGCTCACACGGGGACCCTGGTCGACACATGGGGACCCTGGGCGACACACGGGGGCTTGGGCAACACACGGGGACCGCTGCCTGCTCACACAGGGACCCTGGTTGACACATGGGAGACCCTGGGTGACATGTGGGGACCTGGGCAATACACGGGAAACTCTGGGCGACACATGGGGACCAGTGCCTGCTCACACTGGGGACCCTGGGCGACACACGGGGGACCCTGGGTGACATGCGGGGACCTGGGCAACACGTGGAGACCCTGGTGACATTCCAGAGTCAGCAGGAGCCTCCTGGGCCCCAGGGGAAGACGTTAGCCTCCGACAGGCTGGTTGGTCTCCCTTGTTGGGAGAGTGTAGGCGTGGCAGAGAACCAAGGCATCACAGGTGAGCAGAAACAAGACACCAACTACTCAAGCCTTGCCTCCACGTCTGGTTTTCGCTGCTCACCAGAGAGGCGCTGGGGTGGAGAACGTGAGGAGTCGCCCCTGGGGATGGCCATGCCGCGGCCCCTTTCCCATCCTCTCAGGGTTCTGGGCACGCACATGCTCCCAGCCTGTTTTTCAAAGCTGCCAGGTCCAGGACTCGAACTCTGCAGTCGGCCACAGTGTGGGATCTGACACCTTGACCGCCCCGCCACCGGTCGGCGCCACCGTGTGGCCAGCACTGTCAGAGCGCCCTCCGGGGTTCTCCCTCGTGGGCATCTTGACTCAGACCCTCGGAGCTCATGCCTTCCGTCGCGTGCACAGTCCTCGCCCGTGCTCAGAGGCCGCGTCTTCTCCATGGTCTACGTCCTGGTCCCGTGGGCGGTCACCGCCCCATCCCCTGGACCACACGCCTGCTAGGGGATGGCTGGGGTAAAAATGTTCATTTTTAAAGACTTTTGCTTAACCTTTTTGCTAAGTCTGACCATAAAGCTGAGTTTTTTCTTTTTTAAGTTGTATTAATTTCTTCCATGGCTGAGAAGGACACACAGAGACAGACAGACAGACAGTACCCCAGTGGGGTCTGCTTGCTGCATTGCCCTGTCCTTGGCCGACCCTGAGTCACATGCCCAGGTTCTCAGGGAGGTCTCAGGGTTTGAGCCCAGACCCGTGGCCCAGGGTGGCTGTCAGAGCATCTCCGTAAGGCCACCTGCCCCCCCTCTCACGGCGTGTCTCGTGGGTCTTTTGCCCGCTCCTCCCATGGAGTGGGTTTAGGAAGGAGCAGGGCTGTTTTCACGTGACTTCGTTCACAGATCCAGTTGAAGTCCCAGGAATGGAGTGCTCGTTGGGCACGTGTCTCTCGCCGTGTTTCCCAGGGATGCTGCTCCCCTGCTGGAGGAGGCTCCGCACCCATTGGCCACGTGTGAACTGCCTCCTCGGAGGTCCAGTGGGGGCCGCCATGGACGCGGCCCCGCCCCTGCTCCCGCTCCCGCGCCAGGCATCGCTTGCTTGCAGCTCGTTGTGGCTCTGTCCCCCCGTTCGGAGCACTCGCTCCGTTCTCCTGGCTCCCGCCCTGTCTGGGCACCTGTCTCCCCGACACTGCTTGTGCTCAGCCTTCTCCCACGGTCGCAGTGACAGCTTGGGGACAGCCATGAGATGTCAGGCCCTGTGTGAATACCTCCCTCGCAGCACACATTCCTCTTCTCTCCTTTTGAAGGCTCTCATGACATTGTCATTTGCCCAGGAAATAACTTGTGCAGAGCTGTCCTTGTCGTTTAAGTCACTGAATCTAACAGGGCGGTACCCCCACCAGCATCGCAGCTCCTCAGCTCGAGGGACCTTTGTCTCGACATCTTTCTCTTTTCCACGTCGGCCTGCAGCTGCCTGGGCATGTCTGGTGCGAACCCCAGGGTAGGGCCTTTGCCCACCCAGCCTGATGATGGCTGCGCGTGGAAGCAGCCACTCCTGCTCGCGAGGAGCCCCCTGTCCGTTCCTATCCCCACATGGCCTCTGGAGCCCCACTTGGGCCGGCCGGCCTGCCTACCGAACACTGTCCCCACGGCAGCTGGCCCTCTCCTGCCCACCGCACCCCTCCTCTCAGCTCACCTTCCCTTACGCTCACTCTGCTCTCTGGAGGTCGCGCCTGCCTCGGCCTGTACGACCTGTCCCCGGCTCCGTACTTCTGTGTGCGTGTGGTGTTCACGCCCTGCTGACCCTTGTCATCTCCATCTGTGTATAGCGTCTTTGCTTCCCTCGTGCGGGACATCCCGAGGGGGGTCAAAGTAGGAGCTGTTGGCAGGCTGGCGGGCTACACCGCAGGGCTCTGGCGGGGCCCTGAGCCGCAGGCTGTGCGGGCTGGCTGATCTCCACACACTCTGCGTGCAGCAAATGGAGACAGGGCAAGGGAGGACTCCAGTCCGAGTCCTCGAGTCCCCGTCAAGGCAGACGGGCCGCTGTACCCTTCCAGGGCCACTGTGCCCTTGACAGCGTGTGTCCTCCACTCACACTGGCTCTGAGCTAGGCCAGGCCCCCGCCAGGCCCCGCGGTTACTCCCAGGGCCTCTGAGCAGCCCTGCATGTTGGCGCTGTGGGCTCAGGCTTGCCAGACGGGCTCCTCCAGCATCGTGCAGTGTCAGCTGGGTCTGAGCCCCATGGAAGGCCTGGGCACAGGTGTGTATTCCTGGGCTCCTGCTGTGCACACATCGGCCCTTGTCATACCACGTGGGTCATGCCGTCCTGGCTCGACACCTTGCCGTGACAGCTCCCCAGAGGCGGGGCCTCAGTCAGACTTGGCTGCAGCTGTCCCGAGTGTCTGTCTGTCTCTCTTTTTTTTGGAGAGATTTTTGCTGTAGGGCGTGCACGCTCGCCAGAGGGGAGCGGTTCTCTCACTCTCCCACCCTGTGATCGCAGGGTGGGTACAACGGCAGCGCCAGCCTTTCCTGGGACTCAGTGGGAAAGTGAGAGAACCACTCCCCCAGAGAGATGGCCACACTGCAGTCTCCCCTCCTCTATCCTTGGGATTTGGGGCACACATGCCCCTGTGCCTGCTGTGGGTTTCAAGCCACTTGGTTGGGAGCTGCACTTGCTGTTGGCCATGTGGGGGTCCAGCACTCTAACCACCATGTCACCTGCTGGCC